GTTCGGAATATATGATGATTAATGTGAGTTTTGAGTTCCTATGCCTATGTTATTCTTGAACATGGATAATGTTACAAAAACTGAAATATGAAGTTTATAGTGTATCTACAGATACTTGTTTTTTTTGTGTCATTTTCTGGTGTTCCGCAATCGAGAGGTGTACTTATAGGTGAATATAATGTATAAATGAATGCCTGTGACAGAACTGTGGGCACTTTTCGTTTCTCCGAGTCGAAATCATTAACCGGAGGAGAATCACTTCTTCGAAAATGGAAAACTAGGTCATGGTGACCATCTTTATAACTGAACCAAGCAGCATTATGGACTTGAGATGTAAATCGATGGAAAGAAACAATAACTAAGCGACTAACTGAAAGTGGCTCCAACTGACAAGATTATGGCTGAACTATCATCATTGACAAAATTAAGGCACGCACAGCACGCGCCACCGCCGTCCGGCGCAACACCGCCGGCGCCGTCCCTAACGTGTCCGTGTTCTCCATAGACGACCATTCTGAATCATTGATATAAATGTTACACCATTCTGTCCGGTTGAGAGACACTTTCTATCTGATAAATGATCTACTGTTTTCAGAATCTTTTGTGTGGTAAAGATGAATATAGTCATATACCCCATTGCTTGCAACACATTCATTGTTTCAGAATCTTTTATATGCATGGTTTCATTTTCATATTCTTGTTTTCTCTGAAAGGAATTTACTCATACGTTGATAGAACATAAACGTACATGTGATTACTTGATTGTAGGCTAGTTGTACCCTTGAAGCGGGTGTTAAGATTTACTCCATGAGGGTGGATTTCCGTACATTCGGAGGCATATAAAGTTCTTGGAGGGATTAATCGGGTTGGGCAAGAAGATGAACAAGGTCAGGTTAAGCTTATATTCATTACTGTTATTTTACTACTTCTTCGAACGTATGAATTATTAAGTGTATATAGTTGATTCGAAAAAGCATGAATAGAGTGATTTACATTAGGTCTGCTCATTCTCTTTGCAAATAGTTATGTTGTTGCCCGGATTTAATGTTATGCTGAGCTAAATAAGTGGTTCCAACACCATTCATCTTTGTCATGTTTTTCCTAATTGACAGCAATGCTCGGTTTTGTTTCTACATTCTTTACAAGTTTTTTGCCCGTCCTGTCCCCTTTATACGAAGCATGTTTTTGACGACTATGAGTCCTCTGTGATGTATGAACGTGTGTGCTAGGATGCTTCAAACTTGAGTCGAGCATATCAATGTAACACGTTGATGAGAAAAGTACTACGTTGAAATCCACGATTAGTCAGTTTTTCAGTGGGCTTGCATCTGGAAAGAGCGAGATTTTCGTAAAAGTGGTAACGTATTTGTGCAGTTGTCGCCCTTCTTCACCCTAGTCTCGTCTTTTGCAGCAATCAACGTGAAAAAGTTTGATGGTACGTTGAATTCAATAAGTTGTTATACTCGGTACATTTTACGATCACTGCCTTTATTGCAAATGTATGATTATTGTGCTTGCATTCTGCCTTTTCCTTCAGCTGCTTTTGTTGGATTCAGTTGGTTATATTTGTTACTGTTACATCATTCAGGTAAGAGGCACTAAAAGGAACTGTTTCATTCAAACAGGTGTTAGCCATCTTTCCATTCGCCTGCCGAGCAGCTAAGTCGATCAACGACATATCGCCACATTTGTGCTTCATATGCTTACTGCATTTAGCCAATGAGCACGGGTTGCGAATAATCGGCCGACCGGGCTTGGACGATCTGAGCATACATCTAAAACCTTAAGTTTGTGTAAAAACTCAAAAAGTTTCATATGCTATTCAGAAGTACAATAATTTTGGAGACTGCATTTAATTGTGAACATGTGTTGATGCCTCATCTGTTTGAAAGGTGTTTTGATTGAAAGCGCTGCTTTCACCAGCTTGTTGAAGAAAACACGTGGTTTGTAAACTGTTTTGGTCTGTTCGTATTTAGATGTCATTCATTATTTTCCTGACTCATGTGCAATAATTAATATATAGTCGGTGTGTATAATTACATAATTTATTTTGGGTCCACTTGATGGAGCAAAAACCGGATATTTGATGTGTAAATAATTAATACTATATGTTTTAGACATACATAATTTTAAAAATATAATTAAGAATACCATTTTATACTAATTTAGCGTAAGAACGCAGGGGCGGTATTGAATTAATTATCACTTTGTTAAGTATTTATTATTGTTGTATATTTTTTTTATTTTTTTCAAAACGACAGGATTATATTAAAACTCAACAAAATACATAGTTCGAATGGCCAACTGGCATCAATATACAACAATACAGAGGAAGAAGCTCTTCCTAAATAACTAAGAAGTTTGCAACAATCTCCGACAGAAACTGAAGCTCTGAAAACCGCAGATTGGTGCCAAACCCCTGAAGATCTAAGGTGATAAAGACCACCTCAGATACACAATCAAAATTAACAAACCACTACACCCAAGGAAGGGGACCTAGTTTGTTAACAAAACCTACCCAAGTCAAAGGAGAAATATATACAAAGCAAAACACAAAGTACACTAATCTTTAATGCTAGCAAATTCAACCCATTCTCTTCAGGCAACCTCCACTGTTGCCTTTTCCGGCCTTAACTCTTTCTCGAATATCCAGAGGTTTCTTGTATATAAATAATATAAATAATTTTAAGTATATTCATTATAAACAACTCACAATAATAATATAAATAATTTTAAGTTTTTACTGTATAAATATTAATATATTTAAGTATCCATGTTGTACACGGATATCATACTAACAATAATTACGAAGCGTAACTGTCAATTTAATATTACGATAGGGTGAATATGCCTTAGACGAATCTAAAGGTACACAACTACCACCCTTGATTATATTCCAATTGGTGTAGTAGGCTCTTCGGAAGAGTCGACTCACAAGTGGTATTATATTCTAACACGCAATATTATAAATTAAACACGTAATACAACTCATAGTTAATATTATAACAACGGACAAAACAAGAAAAGATATTTATCAGTTATCATCCCATCATGATCAAACAGCTACCCTTACAATGACATTTGTCTTTGTCCTCTTCAATATTTCCCCTCCATTGCTGAAAGTTCAGTAGGGACCACTAAACCAAAAAAGAAATTCAACACGAGTAATTCATTTCATTTTTTTTTTTTTTAAATAGGTCCCCAAAAACAATTAAATCATACCAAATGCTTCTCAAAAATCAAATCCCCAAATCAAATCTCCACCAATTACGCCGTCGAGCAACCACAATCGGACGGCCGCGCACGACGATGATGACGTCATCGCTCTCGTCCGGCTCCCCAGCCGCGGCGGCGCCGCCGCAGAGGTCGTCGATCCCGGGC